ACTCTTTCACTATTCCTTGTGAGTTTCTAAACTTGTTCCCTGGCAGATGTAAGAACTCTGATTGTTCAAAGTACCTTAACTGTTTTGAAACGTTTAAAAGCCCAGCACCCATAAATTATTAAGTATCATCAAGTTAATGGGTCAAATTCTATTCTACCTAGTCTGTTTCTAAGTGGATTTAGGTGCCTCAGGGCAATTATTCCATTCTGTCCCTGAAAATGCAATGTGTGTCTAACTTTTGTAACAGAGTCTTTTTACCCTTAAGACTGAGTCACAAAAAAAAGCAGAGAGGTGAATAATGATGGTCCGCATTTTTCATTAATTGTTTTTCAGGGATTTGAGCAGGTTGAAATAATCACATTGTAGTGCCTATGTCTGCTTATACATCTAATAGATGGAACAGAACCAGGCCCCAAGGGCACCTATACATTTGTCCAACACCTGCTCCAACTCATGCTAATTAATCAAGTTGCTGGAGCATGCTAATTGGCATGCTCCAGCAGCCTTGGCATTCACATGTATTCAGCGTCTCCAAGTTTGAAAGTGATGGTGAGGGCGCTTTAACTAAAGCTAAAATGGTTTCCCCCAACCCCCACACACACCTCTACCTCGGACCATGTGTAAAGACACCCTTACGGTTAAATTACTTAAACTCAAGTAATCAGTTCATGTACAAAAAGTTACCTTTCCCTGTTTCCCATAACTTGTCTTATACAAGTTGATGTTGGAACTCAGTATTGGGGCTACAGAGGACTTAATTAGAATTAATGTAATATAACCAGGTATATGCTTATAATAACAGCTGGTTACTCGCAACATTGCATCTGTAAAAACACCTTCTCCTACCATATATTCAGCCAGCACTCCTTATAATAGCAGCAGTTTAGGAGCAACGTAGCACCAACATTTTGCTATTAACTGTAGTACAGTTGACACCTGAATGACAAGTTCCAGATATGGAAAAATGCACTCTTTCCAGTCCTAATCCAACCCCGCCCCCCCAATTAACTTTTCCCATAGTCCTGGATGAAGTGCAATAGCAACACAGTCGAGACTTCTTTCCTGGACAAAAACTGTGCCGATCTTGAGTACTCGCACCTTCTCTGCTCAAGAAGTTTAAGTGTGGGTCTGAATGGATAGCAGAAAAGCCTTTTTGTTTTAATGCTTCAAAGATGGGGTGGGAGGGGGATATTAGTTGGTCATTTGAGATTTGTTTTAAATATTGCTTTCTACCAAACACCTCCTCTTCCCCACCCTCCTCCAACAAAACAGACTTCAGTCCCTTTTATTTTTCTCATTGTTTATTTGTTTGGATGTGCATTTCAATTCTTTGTAATTTTGAAACATTTAGGATACAAAGTAGTTTATCTGTTCCATTTAATCACACTTTATTTTGACTAGATATACAAGATATTTTCAGATTGAGGTGGGGTTTTTTTGGTTTGGGGGGGGGGGGGGTTAATGTCTGCTAAAACACCTATTTTCCCCGAGCTGAGAGTAAGTAACTCCTGAATAAAAACTGCCTTCTTTGAAGATTTCATAAGTACAAGATACTCCTTTGTGGCTCTGGTACTTCCTGGTTGATGGTTTCTTCAGAACAGCAGGGTTAAAAATAAGAACTCTGAAGCTACGAATCAGCTTTCTTCTGCTAGTGTACACTGGATGTAATCTTTTTATTTTATTTTAGATATGAAAATGATAACTCTACTTGACTCTGGACCTGATTTTTGATAGGCTCCATTTCTCTTCTTGTCTTTATGGGAAGTGTTCACAAGATTTGTGCTGTGAAAGAAAAACTGTCAGATGGCTTCAGAATCTATGCTCCCAGAGCAGGCAAAAACTCATCTGATAAAGAGGAAAAGGCAGCAGCAGCAACAGCAAGAGAGATCTTCAAACAGTGATAGTGAAGATGAAATCTTTATCTTTGAAGCCAATGAAGCATGGAAGGACTTTCACAACTCTCTCCTTCACTTCTATGAAGCTGGGGAGCTCTGTGACATTACGTTGAAGGTGACAAATTATTTTGTCTTTCTTATCACCTGCATCTGTTATGTTAATTATCTGTTTATAACAGGTACTCTATAAATGTGCAGCTGCATTACCAGTTGTAAGTAGTCACAATTTCCAGATTTTGGGGGGATATTTTTACAAGTTGCTTGAGATCACTTGAACAGCTGCTGGCAGCTGAGAAATTTCACGTAGAGGTGTTGCAGTTTCTGTCTCTTTTCATGAAAAAGAGAACATCAAATTTAGTATTTACTTTAGTTACTGTTTATATTATGAAATTCATGACTTTAGTACTTGCCAGCCCCATTTCTACATCTAGAATGCTGTCACAAAAAAGTGTTCTGAATGGCTCCAGCCACAGTCTCTTTATTTCTTCTCTTTTACCACTTGCAAGTAATTTAGTTTCACCTCTTGGCTGAAGTGTTGTCTTG